CAGTTAACGCACATTGTGTTTGTTTCATTCCAACTCCATTGTGGTGGTGTATAGAGCCAAAGATGTTAGAATTGTGTCGATGTCCCAATATTTCTGGACCTGACTGTATAACACAGCCCATCTCACTGTTGTAATTTTAGGTGACATAAAATTAAGAACCAAGACAACCACACACACAGAAACTGACACACAAAATACTTTTACCCATAAACCCACCTTCAAACAGATTTTTTTAAACCATTAAACCATTAAAAATTATAACCAATATATTTTTCTTGACAGATGCAATGAAATAATTATTTTTATTATGGAATAATAATTGTTTATGCAAGACAAACAAATATCAGAATATACCTTGCATTTGGGTAGCCATAGTGTAGCAGTCTTCAGAGACTGCAAATTTAAAAAAATCCAGAAGGTGGTATTATTGATTCAAGGGCTGAGTGACACTAATGCAAAATGATGCAGGTTTTAGAAACTATTGGAATAATTGTCTACAACACCACTGATGCTGCATAGATTCTCTCGGAAATCTGCAGTGTCAAAGAAAGTTAATAAATTTAGCAGCAGCATTTATATTGAGGACAATGGTTGAAATTTGAAAATGTTTTTTTGTCATGTGATGTTTCAAACTTGAACCACAAGAAAGCAGACCTTACTAGGTTAATACCACTTTTTCCCAAAATACAAAATAACATTAGCTGAGCTTTGGCTTTTTAAAGATTCTAGGTTCATTTCAAAATATGTTGGTGGTTTCAGAAATAGTTTTTTATTAAAGTAAAATAAGGAATGTAACAGAATCCACAGAAACACTGCTTTTAAAAGGAGAATTTACTTATAGAGTATGAATTTGTGTTGAAGAACTAAAATAAGAGCTATATACATATAAAGAAACTGATAACAAACTAGCCTTCCTCAAGACAAAAATTTTCATTATTTTTATTATGGTTGTTCGCACAGCTGGTTGGATGTTTAGACTGAATGTGGCACTTTTATCCACTTATCGAGTCCTTCCCATGGAACTATGATAGGCTGAAGTTCTTTAAAGGTATTGCTGTATATGTAAGCAATTCCAAGTAAAGCTACCTTTTACAATTGACTGATGGTGATTTTCTCAATGCCAATAGAGTAGTTCAAGTGTTTTGGAATTGCAAATATATTTTTTATTGCCATAGTCATTCTACTTCTTTTTGCAGGTCTTTGTGTTTTGTGATTTTCTCCAGTTCTTTCTCTTCTATTTTTCTATTACCAGGTACTGCAAAGCCCACGATCCACAATTTTTCTCTTTCTTAATGACAATTGTTAAGTCTGAGGTGTAATGTCGTAGGTACTTGTTTGTTTAAATATTGTTCTTATTCTCATAGCTTTATCCAGATAGAGTGGGAGGGAGAATATATTGGTCAGCTCAAGGCAGCAAATATACCTAATATTCCTGCCTCCTATTTTCCTCATACTGACAACTCTATAACACCCTTAAAATGGGTGAAAAGGTAATCCTCACTTACCAATTCAATTGGGACAGGCAACTAGATCATTAAGCAATTAAGTGAAAAATTACAAGGATTACAATTTTACACAGGACAATGCATATTGTAATGTAAACATGTAAGAGAGAGAGAGAGAGAGAGAGGGAGGGAGGGAGGGAGAGGGAGAGAGAGGGAGAGAGATGCTGCCAAAGATGTTGGTCACAAAGTTACTTTTTCTTTTTTTAATGAAATTTTATTGAATTAAGAATATATTAAAATTCAAACTATACGGTTCGGCAACGTGTAGTCATATTGTATATTTACAAGTGCGGTGTCTAATCAATTATCTAATTAATTATACAGTTTGTACAAAAATTCTTATACATGAAATTAATTACTGTTTAATTAAAGTATAATAATATATAGGATTAACTAATAGTTGTGCATTATTCCTCATGAGTATTAACTTTTGCATTTAATTTCCAACCACCTATACTACAAATCCCAGATCGTATAAAATTTTGAATCCTCCTTTCCGTTTAATACATACGTTAATCTGCACATTTCTGCGCAGTCAAGTATCTTATTGACTATCTGTTCCTCGGTTGGTCCTCTTTTCTCTTTCCAATATCTAGCATAGGAGAGTCTAGCAGCTGTGACAATATGAATAATCATACAAAGTTTATACAAAATTTATACAAAGTTACTTTTTCATCATTGTGCCAACTGCAAACAGTCACTGTCCAAGGCAGTAGCTAAATGAAGGCTACCTTCACTTAGAGTGCCGAATATTCCTTTTTCAGACGCTGAATTAATTGTAATTTCCCCCCTCTGCGTACATTTTTTAGTGTGCATTTTAGTAACAGTCTGATCTAGTACATGCACCATTTTTAATGGATAGGGTTAGGTAAGGATATGGTAATGGTAATGGTAAGGATAAATGCTACTGGCATTTTGGAAATCACTCAAAACATGGTTTTTCACACAGGTTTGGGGATCTCAAGAAAATAGGGAGCCTATGAGATGGTTACACTGTATGTAAGATACTCATCTATTCTCCTATCATTTTATTGATATACTGTATATCTTTAACTGTTGTTTTAATTGCTTTAATTGCTTTTATTTTAATTTATTTTATTGAATGCTATCTAGAGTCACATTTGAGAAATGGGCAGCTATAATAACATACATACATGCATACATACATACATACCCTGTTTCCCCCAAAATAAGACATCCCCTGATAATAAGCCTAATCGGGCTTTTGAGCGCATGGCAATAAGGCCAAGCACTTATTTAAGGGTTCAAAAAAATATAAGACAGGGTCTTATTTTCAGGGAAACATGGTACATACATACATACATACATACATACATACATACATACATACCAGTGATGGGTTTCAAAAAATTTTACTAACGGTTCTGTGGGTGTGGCTTGGTGGGATAGCATGGCTTGGGGAGTGTGGCTTGGGGGGCATGGCAGGGGAAGAATACTGTAGAATGTCCATTCCCACCCAATCCAGGAGAAGGTTACTGCAAAATCTCCATTTCCTCCTGATCTCGGGACTCGGGAGGCAGAAAATAGATGGGGGCGGGGCCAGTCAGAATTTTTACTACCGGTTCTCCGAACTACTTAAAATTTCAACTACCGGTTCTCCAGAACTGGTCAGAAGCTGCTGAAACCTACCTCTGATACATACATATCACCTATGTTTTGAAGTTCTAAATCATCTGTGATTTGAAGTTCATTAAACTGAAGTTCAAGTCATACAAGAGGATGATTACTACAGGTAGATTTTTTTTCTGCTACTTCCTCCTATCTTAGATGTTCCTGTGGTCAGGAGTATGTTTGCTTTTTTTACAAAATTTAGTAAACTATTAACAAATGCACACTCCAAATGCATTAGAATTTTAGTAAATTTATTTATTCTCTAGAGCTGAAATTTTTAAATCGTCATATAGTTACAATTTTACTTAGTTTTTATATTAATGCCTATGCATCACTGTATTTTATATTTTATTTTGTTTGAAAAGAAAAAAGGAATGTAATCACTCACCGAAGCGTATACTTTATATATTAAATAAACACTAATTACACATATATATTAGTGATATCAATGTTAACATTTATATAACTGCAGAACAATAGGAAAAAAGACAACTAATAATATACAAAATACTACTGTCTATACTATCCAAATGTTTAAGTAATTAACCAGATAGTTTGTCCTTGATTTTTAGAGATTGAACATTTCAATTCCTTATTCCATACTTCTTGTACTCTTGAGTATCTGATTTAGTATATTCCAGCAATAGTTTTATAATTGGCTCTTATAATTTGTTATAAGGAACATGTTAAATCCTTCAGTGTGGAACAACAAAGTATGTGCCATGATGTCACAATATAAAACTGCATGTTAATTACATCAGCTGCCTTGAGTCTTCAGAGAAAGACGGCATACAAGTTGAACAATAAATAAATAAATCAGATATCAGGACAAAACTACATAGTGGTGGATTTAGTCATTGTTTACTGCATTTGTGTTCTTTTGGTGCAATGTTGTCTTGACCCGGATGGATAGATGGATGGATGGACAGATTGATTTGTGTGAGGGTTTCTTCTTTGCTTAGATTTGCAGCCTGGGCTTCTATAGTGATCTCCCATTCAAATACTAACCAGGTCCACTATAGAGGTTACCTAAACTGTTCAGAAGCTTTTAATGTAGTTTGGGAGAAGAAAACAAGAGATTGCAATGGTATTACTGGATCATACTCTTCCTTTAAAGTTTCTAATTATCTATTAAATGGAGTCCTAGGTTTTAGTTTATTAACCGCCTCAGTGCTTATCCTGACATATCTTCATTTTCTGCTTTCCGTTTCTCCATGTGTAATACAATTCAAATTGCCACATTCACAATAATAAATATAAATTCTAACTATCGGCTATAATTACTCCTGCAAAGAGAACACTTGGCCTCTGGTACAATATTATTGTAATATCTGAATCATTGTATTTTCTACACATCTACAAAAGTCACATTTCATTAAGATTACGTTAACTGGTATAATTGGATCCCCACACTTATTTAAACAAAATGAGAAGGTCTGACATCAGTGTGTGTGTGTGTGTGTGTGTGTGTGTGTTGTTTTACAAAGACGACAGAATTGAGCAGTTTGTTTATGCCAACTCGGTTTGGAAGCACTTAAATTTCGATGCAACTCAATATCAGTTTCTTCCTTTCTTCTCCACTAACTTGCAGTGTGACCTAATTTGTATCCAATACCATTTGTAGAGTATATTGTGATTCTGTATTAGGGAGATATTAATCAGTTACAAATGGAATATCAGGGTGTGTGTGTGTGTGTCCATCTGTCTGTCTCTCTGTCTCTCTGTGAGTCAGGCAATATTGTTATTTGGGGTTCAGCAGGAAAATGGAGAGCAAAATAGGAGCAAACGCCATGGTTTGAAATTGGGAGAGAAAATGCATAAATGTTTAATAAAGTTTGCTAGGGAGAAGCTCAAATGGCCAGAGAGACAGTATTGTGTTCGTTACTATAGCATCACTGAGCACATGTGTGAAGAAAGCCTAGAAAGAGGATGAGCAGCATGTTATAATGTGCTTTAGTCAGACGCATAAGCTTAACATCAGGTCCAGTATTACTTTCAGGTCTATTCCTTTGAAGACTGCAGAATAACAAGAGATGCAAAACAGACCTCCTGCAATTTACACTGAATTATTGACAGTCTTTGGGAGAATCTACTGATAATTTCGGTGTGGTTATTTTATTTGGAAGATTAACATACCTGCCAGATCACTCTCTCAAGGAAGAAAAGAAAAAAAAAAAGAAGAACAGAACAGGAAAAAAAAGACTTATTAGAATTGAAAAAAAATTGATGATGACAAGTCTATTTTACCTAAAAGGATTTATCTAAGAAAGAACAGAAGATGCCTTTTGAAGTGTTAAATTCATTAAAAGAGAGACTTTTAAAGCCTGGGAAGGAAGAGGTGAAGAATACTGTAAGTGACTCTCTAGGACACTTGCAAAGGTAACAGTTTCATGTACTGTTAACTTCTACAAAGATTATAGTAAAATTACGAAGTAAAATACATAAGTGAAATATGTAGGAACAAATGACTAAAAGAGGATTTACAAGGATATATCTTAGCTGAAAGTAAGGACAATCACTCATTAGGTGTGTCCTACTAAATCAGGCGGGGGAGGGGGAAACATAATTTTAGGCATCCTTAATGTTATTGATAAAACAAAATTATTTTTGTAGTTTTAAATTAGTACAGCTAAAATCATGAAGTATTTTTAGCTACACTGCTGTGATTGTGAACAGCAATTATGTTTCATCTTCATTGTGTTTAAAGACTCTTAAATCCACAAATATGTGTTTACCTTTGTACTCTGTTAGAATAAAAATACATGCTTTTTTACTTAATCATTCTAATATATTTTAAAGTATAAAGTTCATAATATATTTTAGAAAAGAACAGTGTTAAATTGTCATAACAAAAGTTAGAAGTCTTGTATGTTAAAAAAGAATATTTTATTAAGTTCCTATGGAAACTAATTTTTATGCAAACAGTAAACTTTTTACAAGAAAAAAAATGCCTACAATGCCTAATTGGCATGTTTTTTTGTTATTCATTTTCTGAAAGCAGCAGTTATGTCATTGATGTGCTGTCCTGTAACAAAACATTTTCTGTTAATTTTTCAATATTTTACAAAAGCATAAACAGGAGTAATGTATTATTGTTACAACGTAAAATACTATTATATATAATTGACCTACAATCAAAACTGCCATCAAATGTGCTTAACCACAATTAAATATCTCTCAAGGAAAGAGGGCATTTCTCTATATAAACATTCATAGAATTATGTTACAGTATTAATTGCAGATACTACCATAACTGCAGAAAAACAACTTATCTGTGCTTTTTTTGCATTGTCCTGAATAACTATTTCAATCCATGCTTTCCTTCTTTATCAGGAACAAACTACTTCATCTCCTTATTTTGTCTGTAATATACACATTCATGCATTCATTTGACTTGGCTCTTTTCAAAAAGCTAAATGGTTTGTGTGAGAGATCTCCAGAAAAATAGCAGAATGAGCGTTTATATTGTGAAGTCATAACAATAACCACTTCTCCCAGACGAAAGCAAAGGCAAACCATTTCTGCAATGTGGTTAAGAAAACTACATGGATGAATTGTGGAGTCATAAAGAGACAAAGCACGCTTAATGGGGGAGACATTTTAAATTTGAGCACCAACAATAAATGTTTTTCTAGATTTTCTGGGAAAATTACTTTTAATTCATGAAAATTTAAAAGCCACCTGCAAATTAGCCCAAAGCTGATATTTCTTCATATTTTTCCAAAATCTTAGTTTACTACTATTGTTGATAAATATCACATCTTTGAGTGTGATATTTATTGTCTCATTTAAATGAAGATATATCTACAAATATCGACAAATAATTTCAGTTGTGCATAGATGAGACCCAAGCCTTTTGGCATTCTTGCAAAAATAGAAATATTTTTATTACTGAATTATTTTCTAAATTCTATTTCAATTCCATTCAGATTCATATATATAAGGAAATTTATATATATGAATTATTTTCCATATATCCATTTTGCAATTTACATTGTATCCTGGTGGATTGTTACAATGTTGATACTGTAATGCCAAACGGCTTGCCAAAATCTTCATCTTGGTTCTTTTTTTAAAAATTCTTTTGCTTATGGACGTAAAAATAGAAATATGATAGATAAGATAGATTCTCCAACTTGCTGCTCCCCACAAAAAAACCCACACACGAAGCATTGCTCTATGAGACCATCTAGAACAATCTAACACAAAGATTACCTTTGCCTAAAATATTCAGTAAACTCTGTAATGAGTGACGAACCACCAGGCAATATTTTTAAACCATGCACCTAATGTTTATTTAATATTATTTACAAAATATCAACATTATTTGTTGGTGCACTATATTGCATGAATGGATTATAATTCTTATAATTAAATGAAATAAATGATACTGCCCAGTATTGATGAGAAATTAATCATGCTGTAGTTGTCTTTCTAAATTAAAAGTACTCAATAATTTTTAGAACTGTGGGAGTTTTATAAATAAAATGTCCTTTTGAGTCTCTTTCCAATAACTTGACTTCAACTCTGTGTATGGAAACCTAAACTTCTAAAATTACTTTTGGGATTATATTTAAACAGTTTTACTGCTAGAATTAAAACTGTTGATCTGCCTGATAATTTCAAATAATAATGAACAATATCTTTAATTGAAGTGCTTCCATGAGTGTGGCATAGGACAGCTGCATCCCCCACAAGAAAGGCTCTGAAATTAGACATACAGAACATTTCTTTTTTGAACATGGACTAGATTGCAAGCTGCCTGGGTTGAAACTCTGATTCCTATGCTTCTGTTAAATAATGTGACAGGTATGCTGAGAAGAAATCTCTATATCACAGTAGGAAACAATCCACAGAAACTGTCAGAGTAATAGACTCAATATTATATGTCATCCCAACCAGATATTGAGAGTCCTTCTGAACCCTTGGAAACTTAATTTTGACTCATAAACCTGATTTTAAAAAAGAAGAAGAAAGGCATTTATTTAAAAAAGAAAAACAATCACGTAAAATTTTCTAGTGACACCATTTGACAGCAAGAATTTATAAAAGAAGGCTCTTTTCACATTTCAAACTGATGAGTACAAGTAGACTTTTGGTAAAAAAAAATTACCAAATAAATAAATAAATAAATAAATAAATAAATAAATAAATTTAAATTTAAAACTAAATTGCAAAATTCAGTTTTGCAGCCTTTTTGCTATATAAATTAGAAAACAGTAGCAATGTCCTTTCTCAAGTCTTTTTTTTAGAATGATTCTGTTTATCTGAAGTATATCCTATAATTGGAGTTTTTCAACATTCTCTTGTATTGTTCTTATCAGTCTATCCTTTTACCTTATCCATATCACCCTTTTTTCATTTTGGATTAATATGGGTAGTAAAAACAGGATATTATTTACTGAACTTTTAAAACATTGATTGAAAGAGCAATATTATATAAGAATTATATACATACACACACACACACACAAATAAACACACACACACACACACACACACACACACACACACAGGGATTTACTTATTTTATTCTGTCCCTTCCTCTCTGTCCCTTCCTGCCTTTTACTTTTAAACTGAACCTATCATAAAGGACACACTGAATTTAAACTTAAACTTAAACTGAACCTATCTTAAAGGACACACTGAACTTAAACATTGACTGGCAGACAACAGTAGAAAAGATATCCGGTAGGGCAATTAGGACTGGAAATTCTGGCCTCTAAAGCTGAGAAGTTCCTTGTGTGATGAAGATTAAATTTGCAGATGGAACCAAGTTGGCAGGAATAGCCAAAACTCCAGAGGATAGGCTCAAGATCCAGAAGGATCTCAAGAGACTTGAACACTGGGCCCAATCGAACAAAATAAAATTTAATGGTGAGAAAAGAAAGGTTCTATGCTTAAGCAAGAAAGATGAAATGTAGTTATAGAATAGCTGGTACCTAGCTCAGTAGCAGTTACTGTGAGAGTGATCTAGGACAATCCTAATGGATAATCACTCAAATATGAGCCAGCAGTGTGTTGCAACTGCCAAAAAAGTTGGCACAGTCCTAGGCTGCATAACAGAGAGATAGAATCAAGGTCATGTGAGTATCACTTTATAATACCTTGGTAAGACCATACTTGGAATATTACATCCAGTTTTGGTCGCTATGATATTAAAAAGATGTCAAAACTAGAAAGAGTGCAGACAGGAGTAACAAAGATTATTAGGGGATTGGAAGGTAAAACATATGAAGGACAGTTGCAAGAATTGAGTATGTCTAGTCTAATGAAGAGAAGGACTAGGGGGTAACATAACGGTGTTCCAATAATTAAGGGGCTGCTACAAAGAAGAGGATAGAATTTAATCAAGGAGAGAACCAACCTAGAAATAAGGGGAAATTTCCTGACAGAACAATTAATCAGTGGGATGGCTTGCCTTCATAGGTTTTGGATGCTCCATCACTGGAGTCTTTTAAGAAGAGATTGGGCAACTACTTGTATGAAATGGTATACGGTCTTCTGCTTGAGGAGGAGGTTGGACTAGAAGACCTCCAAGGTCCTTTCCAACTCTGTTATTCTGTTATTTTATTTATGATGCTGTGTGGATTTACATTAAATGCCCATGCATATAACACTGTGCTTGGAAGGATATCCATTCATTCTCTTATATCCAATTCCTTTGGATATAAAGCAGATAAAAAGCTTGTAATTGTTTCAGATGACATTTATTATTTTAAGAATTACTGCTGGTGATGATATTGTATTTTATTTTACTTTAAACATAAGTAATATGAGTAGAAGTAAAAAAGATATAATGATTAATATATTTTACTCTCCTGGAATAAATAGAAAACAGCATACAAATACACATGTTATGAGAGGTTTTTGTCCTTTGGTAATAAAAAACTATAAAGGAATACACTCTTCCTTTCCCTAAAATGGAAAATCTCCGTATGAAACATGCACCACAATCTGTTCTTGAAAATCAAAAACGTTTCTGGTACAAACGGAAAAGTTTCTGGTACAAACGGAAATGATGAAAAAAACTAACAAACGTGTATTGCGATATCACAGTGCAAACACCACTTGTACTTATGTCCTTACTTGTGTCCTTAGTCATGGGCTTTGATAGCACAACTCACATTTCATTATTTGCCCTTCTAGCTCTCCCCTGGGTTTGGCTCTGAAACTTCTTATGGCTTTGCATTCCTTATTTATTTATTTAGAAAATGTTTATTTATTTAGAAAATTTATTTGGCCACCCATATTAAATACATAATTCTAAGCATCTAGGAAGCCAGCTCACAAGAAAAACAATATGAAAACTTTTATAAAAAGAGCAGAAAATATAGTTAAACATAATCCAGTACAAAAACCAAGATACCACATACGATGCTCAGAATACAAATACATATTTATAGTATTATTTTACCGAAGCATATCTTCTAATTTGAGCTATTGTTACTAGTGTAATTCTTTATGGTATGTAGGAAATACAGTTCTTTCCAGCAATTTCATTGTATGCATGATGTACAATGACAATAAAGGCTATTATTATTATTATTATTATTGGTTAATCTTTAGTGAGATTCACAGCCTTTGAGGCTGGTTAATAGCTCAGCAGCTCGAGTCCTAACCAAGGACATAGGAACTGTTAAGGTATCGTCGGAGGATGTAAGCTGTTCCGAGTAAGGTGGTTTTTTGTAGAGTCAAAATGTTCAAGTCCGGCAATTTTAGAATTTCTAAATAGCGGGGTAGCCCTTTGGGTATTGCTCCAAGGGCTCCAATTACAATCGGGACAACACACAATTTCTTTTTCCACAGTTGCTCAACTTCAATTTGTAAATCCCGGTACTTGGTGATTTTTTTCTTGCTGCTTATCTTCAATTCGTGCATCACCAGGTATTGCAATGTCAATGAACCATACTTTTTTCTTTTCAACTATTGTTATGTCAGGTGTGTTGTGGACCAAGTGCCTGTCAGTCTGAATCCTAAAGTCCCACAAGATCTTGAATTTCTCATTCTCTAAAACTTTCTCAATCTGATGTTCCCAGTGGTTTTTGCTGTACTCAAATCCAAACTTCTGGCACAATTTCCAGTGAATGATCTTAGCAACACGGTCATGGCGTTGTAGGTAGTCAGTTTGTGAAATTTTGTTGCACCCACTGATTATTATTATTATTATCATCATCATCATCATCATCATCATCATCATCATCATCATTATCATCATCATCATCATTATCATCATCATCATGATCATCTTTTAACTGTTTAAGAACTGTCAGGTTTTCTGACAGTATAGTATATTTTCAGGTTTAAAAAAAGCCAAATCTGATTAGTTTAATGAGAGTTATAGAGAATACAATCCTCATCAAAGTTATACGTGAGTTCCTAAAACAGCTGAAGATCAAACATACTTCTGATAATAGACTTGCTAATGAGATTTATATTGCATTTTATTCTACAAGTTCTTCAAAGCACCTCTACATAAAGTTCTGCAACGGATTCTGTTCTGGAATCTTATTCTCCATGCTCAATCATACAAGCCTTCGATTTAAAATGGAGGTGGAAAGCTTCAAGCTATTACTGAACAACAAAGCTTAGAAGAGTATGATTTTTGTAGTTCAGCAACAGTGCGGGGTGGGGGGGAGACAACAGATTCCCAATCCATGTTTTCAGTAATATCACATTCAAACACATTTTTAAATAAAATAAATGGTACTCTTAGGACTCACTTGCTAACACTGCAGGTTTTATTCTATGACTGTCTGCCTGATGGTTTGATAAACTAGATTTGCGGTTGCGTCATTGGAAATGCTACTGTCACTATATTAGCTTTCCAGAATATTCTATGGGCCATCCAGAGATAATGATTTACAGTTTTGGTAATTTTGGGCATCAGATTGCAAATTTGGTACTCTATAAACCCTTTGGCTCCTTCTTTCTTTCCATGCTATTTAAACATAATTTATTAGGAACAGTTAATATGGGAATGTAACAAAAGCACTTTAGTATTTAGTTATTTTAAGTGCGTATCAGTAACTTCTGAGAGTATATTTTTCTCTGAACACACCTTGCCTCTGTTTTACATGGCTTTAGAAAAATTGATGGAACCAACTGTGAAAGAGATGCCATAGAGCTGAATGAAGACGGAAGACCTATGCAAGCAACAACCAAACCGCCTTTATTTGATTGCTATTGCTGTGGATTACCTAAACGCTATATTATTGCTATGATGAGTGGTCTGGGATTTTGCATTTCTTTTGGAATTAGATGCAATCTTGGTGTTGCTATTGTGGAAATGGTTAATAACAACACAGTCTACATCAATGGAAAACCAGAGACTGAGGTAGGTAGAAGGATATATTATTTTAACACAAAAAAATAATACCATAATACTCTAGAAGAGATCAGATTAAAAAGTTTATTTTCTTCATTTTCTTTTCAATTTTTTTTTCAATAAACACTGGCATTAGCAGCTGTTCAGATAGTATAAGATTATTAGGGTCTTTGTAATTGATATAGAACAGAATGTTCTACTCAGATAAATCAGTGCTCCAAAGTCTCAGACAGAAATTTTGGCTCACAAGATATATATTGTACTAGGTTTATTTCTCTTACTAGAAAGTGTTTTCTACTTGTGCTATAGAGAGATACAGTGATATTAAAGCTTGTCTGTGTGTGAGAGCGTGTGTGCCTCCCAGTGAGTATTGACTCATGATAACTGCCTGGACAATCCCTGATGTTTCCTTGGCAAAGCTTTTCAGAAGTTTAACAGATTAACAGAGTTGGAAGGGACCTTGCAGGTCATCTAGTCCAGCCCCCTGCTCAAGCAGGAGACCTTACATCTACCTAGGATCGAACTCACAACCTCCTGATTGTGAGGCAAGAGCTCTACCTCTAGATCACAGCAGCTGCTGGCTTGCTATTGCCTTCTTCTAGGGCTGAGAGAGAGAGTGGTTGCCCCAATAGGTATTGTACCTAAAATGGGACTAATTTCTAGCCTAATTCCTTCACCACTATACCAAACTAGCTTTCTATTAAAAGTTTAGTTGCATTTATGAAATATTATGTTTTAACTCCCATAGTGATTTTTCAGTAGATGTACAGCCTGTTTTTCTTCCAAGGAACTCAAGGTGGCACACACATTTCTCCTCATATGCCAATACTCAGGTTTTATAATAACCCTGTGAAGTAGATCAGGCTGACAGATAGTAAATAGTCCTAGATGGGACAAAGAGCATCGTAAAGCACTTACTGCACTGTAAAAATGGAAATTTAAACCGAAAGCAATATCATTGAATTGAAGCATTCTTGGGCCAAAATAAACAATCCTAATCCTGCTATATCTTCTCTGGAAACTAAAACTGTTAGTTCAGCCACAAAACATTTAGAAGGACAAGAGGTCATGATTCTATGGGAAAAGATACTGGGAGACAAGGAGAATGAAAGAAAGTAACACCCTGGAAAGAAATTATATTCATGGAATAACAGCCACCTTCTTCTTTCAAAAGCCCATTGTATTGACATATCACCTTACAGGCTTCACTGTCTTCACTAGGTGCATGACGTGTTATATCCAATAAAATACCTGGATATATTCCAATGCACATAAATCTGTAAAGAGGGACTGTAACCCCACCACCTTTTTAGGCTTGTTTTGCCTAAGCAAGTTCTGTCAATAAACCAATATGTGCTTCATTGTAACATGTACTGGTCTCCAGTTGAAAGGTGCCCTTGAAATATTCTGCAAATTACAATCTGAATGAAAATACATTAACAAAAAATGCATTAAATCAAGGACAACTGTAGCATAATTGGGGAAGATACCTGTATTTAGAGCAAAGGCATTATTCAGCTAGGTGAATAGCTGCAATAACAATGCCTCAGGTATTTTTCTTTCTTGTTTTTGAAATATGATTGTGGGCAGTAAGTATATCAGCAAAAGCTTTCAAACACTCAGATGTAAAAAAAAAATAATTGTGTAGTCCATCAATTTGAGAACATACTAGCCGATTAACTAATTAATTAAACAAATTTATTTAATACTCTAAGCATATTATGTATAAATTAAGTACAGTTTAATTAATAAAAAAGAACTGACAAAATTTTCCCCTTCCATCAAATAAGTTCGTTTTTAAAGCTCTTAAAGGACAAATATTGATTAATGATAACTGCAATATCTGGATTTTGCAATAAAACATATTTTACAAACATCAAGATGCTAGCTGTGTGTTACTATTTAATATTGTTTTATTTGTAGAAAGCTCAATTCAGCTGGGATCCAGAAGTAGTAGGACTCATTCATGGATCGTTTTTTTGGGGCTATATTGTTACACAAATTCCAGGAGGTTTCATTGCAAATAAACTAGCAGCTAACAGGTAATATACACATATATTATAATGCAATACAGAATTTAGAAAAACACATGATGTAATAAATATGTATAAATATAGTGTTACTTTTCTAGAATGCAACATTTTAAACAATGTATAATCATTTGTGTATTTACATGTAATATGGCCGTGTTACTATTATTCTTCTCATCTTTTCTACTACCTTCTACTAATGGTATTTTATGATTATATTACTTTGTTGTTTGTATGTACATTAAGAGGTTATATATCAGAGTCAAATTCCTTGTGTGTCCAATCACACTTGGCCAATAAAGAATATTCTATTCTATTCTATTCTATTCTATTCTATTCTATTCTATTCTATTCTATTCTATTCTATTCTATAATGAGGCATAAAAATAGTTCATTACTGTGAAACTACAACTACCAGTAGTTTCTCTGATAGCTAATGTTAATTGAAGCTTGTCAGATTATCTTGGTGTTCTGAAATAAAAATGATGCTAATTTTAGAAGAATTTAGTAAAGAAAGGTATGAACTAAATGTTTTTAATATTGGACATTTTGAGAGTAACATTTATAAAAATGTTCACAAAACAAATAACTACAAATATCATGTATTTTAATCTGTGTTCAACTAAATTGCTCAGATGATATCAGCTGGCTATGTGCAATTCTAGAATATAAAGTCTTCAATGAAAGTTTAGTTTGTCCTTTTTTAAAAAATTGATCTCTGGATAATTTTGAACTTTTGTTTAGGCCAGCTTTTCTCAATTCAATATATAGTATCATGGCATTATGGCAATATGAAATTATAGGGGAAAATTATATTTCTCCTTTTTTAGGGTGTTTGGAGCAGCAATTTTCCTAACTTCAACTCTAAACATGTTCATTCCTGCAGCTGCCAGAGTACATTATGGGTGTGTTATGTTTGTAAGAATTTTGCAAGGCCTTGTGGAGGTAAGTACCAATGTGGATGTTTATTTGCACCAGTTATTAAGTTTTCATTAATTGCATGTAAGCAATACAAACATTAAAATAATGTTTGCATCATTCCAGGGCAAGTAATTTTTTGCAACTGTGTTAAAATTGAATCTCTTGGTTACCTTTTAATACTTATTTGTTGATATTTGAAAGCTTAGTGACAAAGAACAGGAGGGGAACTTGCAGATCCATCTATGATGGGTATCAAGGTCGGAGGGAAACAAGTGATGAAAGCAGCCTCACACCATAGCAATACAAGTGCCATCTCTTGTACACTCATTGTGATGTCATACATGCAGAAGGGGAAGCTCATTCACAACAACACAATAATGGTTTCATCATTTTGACTAAAGCATCTGAGCTGGCAGAAGCCTTTGGAAATATGCTATTATTGTAAAATTGCAAAAAACAAAATGAATTGAAGTTTAATTTTCAGCCATGTGAATGCCAAAAGGTGAGAAGTGCAATTTCAACTAATAGTTTCAGCTTCAACTAATAACAAGTAGGTTCCCATTGAAGAAAATCAGTATTTGAAGTAACTGGATCTTTCAAATCCTTTCCATTCTTAAATCTATTAAAACTATTAAAATCTATTAAAACAAAGCTTCATGCCTAGGGCAGGATTTATTTGGTCTATTTAGGAATTTAATAAAATAGCTTCACAGATATTGGTCTGTGATATTTATGTCTCTGGAAATACAGATAGAAAAGCTGCAAATAAAGGAATCAAAATTCAAACAGAATTCTACCCTGAGAATCATTATTTCCTTTCTGTACTGTATTATATACATATGTGTATGTACAAATGCACTTATATACACGAACACACATTTGAAGTCAATCCCTTAGTGTTAAGTGAGATGGCTTCCTTTTGCAGATGATTCCTGTCTAAAACAATAAGACCAGTTACTTGCATGTAATAAAAATGTGAGCACAAATGAAAAGTTTAAATGCAAAAATTTAATGCTGTGCAAAATTTGCTAGGGGGTGACTTATCCAGCATGCCATGGAATGTGGAGTAAATGGGCTCCTCCAATGGAAAGAAGCAGGTTGGCAACTATTTCATTTTGTGGTATGTTGGTTTTTCTTCTTTTGTTTTAAGGAAATGCCTGCATGATGGGTTTAATGAAAAATACTATGCTGATTATAAAACAATAGGTATTCACTTATTTTTCTTTTTCTTTTCTTTATTTATTTTTTATTAATATAAATAAAAAGGGCAAGATGTTCAAAATCCATATAAACAGTGTGTTGTCTGGTTACAATTGTTTTAAGTAACATTCATCATAGTAACAATAATAGCATTCTCTAATAGTAATCTCATAATATAACAGTGCTTTTCCCTCATAATATTAATTATTAAGACTAATCAAAATTAATAAGTTACAGTAACATAATAATAAAATTACTTTTTCTCTTGTAGTTTTTGAAGTTCTAACTCCTGTTTCTCTCATCCAACCATCAATAGAACAGATCCCATACCTCAAAATATTCAGTGACTTCCTTTTCTTTAATTTCAAATGTTAGTTTATTCATTTCTGCCCATTCTAAAATTTTTGTTATTATCTTTTCTTCTGTGGGGATTTCCTCGCCCTTCCAATGTTGTGCGAACGTGATTCTGGCTGCTGTTAACACATGTATTATTAAGTATACATTTCTTTTACTTTATTTATCTGGTATGATGCCCAACAGAAATGTTTTCTGTTTTAGATCTATATGTTCGTTTATCATCTTTTCTAGCCAGGTGTGTAATCTAATCCAGTATTTTTTTGCTTTCGGACATGTCCAAATATGAGCCCGGGATTTGGTTGCACTTCTAATACTTGGAAGACATATTCTTAAACATTCTAGCTAATCTTGCTGAAGAGAAGTGCAATTTATAAAACATTTTGTATATGTTTTCTTTATATGCAGTGGACGTTGTCAAATTATAGTTTCTGTCCCACAACTTTTGCCATTTGTCCAATTCTATGGAATATCCAAAAATTTTAGTCCATGCTATAATAGTTTCTTTTACTTGCTTCTCTTCCATTCTAGTAGTCAATAAATAATTATAGAATTTTTTAATCAGTTTCTCCTCCGGTACTATTAAAATTTGATCCAATTCTGTTGGTTCTTTATAAAAAGTTTTAACATCTTTATAGTATCTAGATTGTATCTGTACATGCGGCCACCATACTAAATTTATCCCTTGGCTATTCAATTCCTGTTTGTTTTTCAATTCCCCCTTCTCATTTAAAATATCTTTGTATCTTACAATTTCTCCCATATCCATCACATTTGGGTATGTTAGTGCCTCCATCGTGGAGAGCCAAACTGGTATTTTCAAATAGTATTTTTCTTTGATTTTTACCCATTTCGAGGTTTTCACTTATTTTTCATTTGAGGATTTAGTTGCCAAAAAAACTTTCTTAATATCTGAAGGACATATATTATTGCTATTTGTGTCTGTTGTAAAATTGATACATTTCTGCACATATGATTTCTACTTTCTCTATGGCAATTTCAATAAGAATTTTTTTTCTTTTAATGCTTAGATTTTTGGTTCTTTAACATAAACCCAGTTACTCATATCAACCAAATAGTGACTTTGTTTATACCACTTATTTATTTGTTGTACTGCATATTCAAGTAAATTTTTGAGGTTTAGAAACATGAATGGAAGGGAAGGGAAGGGAAGGGAAGGGAATGGAATGGAATAGAATAGAATAGAATAGAATAGAATAGAATAGAATAGAATAGAGTTTATTTGGATTAGACATACAAGGAATTTATCTTCTGTGCTGACGCTCTCAGTGTACATGCAAAGCAACAGAGTAATAATAATCATAAAACAAATAAGAGTGGGTAGTAAAGAAGATAAGAAGAAGAATAGTAATTCCACAGCCATACAATAGGGGTGTGTGTGTGTGTGTGTGTGTATGTATATATACACAGAGAGAGAGAGAGAGAGAGAGAGAGAGAGAGAGAGAGAGAGAGACCTAGATATAGAGATAGAGATAGAGATAGAGATAGAGATAGAGAGGTAAAGGTAGAGATAGATAGATAGATACTGTAGATGATAGATAGATAGATAGATAGATAGATAGATAGATAGATAGAGATAGAGAGATAGACAGACAGACAGATAGAGATAGAGATAGATAGATAGATAGATAGATAGATAGATAGATAGATAGATAGATTAAACGCTACTGTGAGATGTAGGTGTTCAGTAGTGTGATGGCACAAGGGAAAAAACTGTCCCTGTGTCTAGTTGTTTTAGCATGCATGAGTTGGAACAGTTTATGTCCAGAATGTGAAGGATCTGTAGATGTTTTCTCAGCCCTTCTCCTGTCCCATATAATATACATATTTTCTATGGAAGGCAATCTAATTGCAATTGTTTTTTCTGCAGCCCTAACTATCTGTTGAGTCTGTACTGTCACCTGTTTAGTTGGTGTACCAGATCAGAGAGTTAAAGAAGTACAAATTACTGACTCAATAATTCCTCTGTAAAACTGAATCAACAGCCCCTGCCTGGGGCAGTCTGAACTTCCTGAGTTGATGCAGGAAGAATATTCTTTGTTGTGCTTTTTTAATGATGGTTCTAATGATGGATATTCATTTCAAATCCTGGGAAATTATGGAACCCAAAGCTTGAAGATTGTATTGTTGATACTATAGTAAGAGGTGGTAGAAAAGGAAGGCTCCTCCTAAAATCCACTCTCACCTCTACAGTTTTAAGCATGTTCAGCTCCAAGTTGTTTTTGCTGCATCACAGGGCCAGTTGTAACTGCAAGGCTCAATTCACACTACCAAATGCTAAGCTAATGTAGTTGGCTAGTTCATGATTCCATGTGTTGTGTGAATATACTAATCAATAATCAAACTTAATTCCTACTTATACAGCCATCCTATAACTTATTGATATCATTAATTCAGTCCTTTTCTGAGTTTAGGCTGCCTTTCCTAAACAAATATTTATTATTCTTTAAAAATTTTTATTTATTTCCAGACAAGTTGAATGTTGATCGAAGTCAGTACAATTACCTAAAAACCATTAAGCAATTTATTATATTCGATTCAAATAGTGTTTTAAAAGAATTGTTGGAAAATTTCTTTTAAGGTACAATTTGGATAAACATTTTGAACTAGTTTGCTAATGAATTATTCCAAGAAGAGTTCCAATGTTCTCAAGATGCCCAATAGTTCATACATAAGTTAACTGTCTATTAAATAATATAAACTAATTTCAATTGAGGAAAAAAGAACACCTGAGTCTACGCATCTACCAGAATAATTAATTAGCAACACTGGTAAATGCCAAAATAAAATTTCATGGCTTGTCTTTATGAGCTCTCAATAGGATCCAAATGCCATTTATTTTTTTTAACCATTTACTAGTAGCATATTTTCCTATAAATCATCACATCATACTATTTACAGCAGTAATGTCCTTATTCTTTCATGTTATAATATTGTAGAAAAGGCATTCTCAGTTTTCAGGACCAAAAGGCACAGTTAAAATTTTGGGAGTAATATATAAACACTTCTCATAATGGAAGACATAATGGGCACAGCCAGTATTTTTGTATGTATGTGTGTCTATGTGCATATATGTGTACAAATACACATTTACCAGAAAACAAACTATTGAGATTCCTCCACTGAACCCCTTCTAGCATTTCAGGATGGATTTTACCACATCCACACCCTTTTGTCCTTTTTCTGGGCAGATGTGTATATTTCCAAATAAAGCATTCGCCCAATAAAGTGTTCTTTGAGCAATGATGATTCCAGGAAATGACTATGAAGTTTTGTTTTATTAATAAGACTTATAAATGATCTCACTCCAGAAGCTCTAGGCATGTACAGTATCAAAGCATAGTACAAAGAATAATAGGATGGAAAACAACAAAACCAGATAAAATGAGAAACAATATTGGCACAGTTCTTCCTCTGACTGCTTAATCACCAAAGAGCTCTTGGAAAAGCCAAGTCTTAATTATTCTCTGGCAGGCCCTAAGAATTGGGGTGGTGTGGCAGGGGCAATCCTTGCATCAGGGAACAGATAATTCAAAGAAAGGGAATAGCCTCCCAAAATGTCTGCCTCAATTTCTTCCTGTTGAACCTCATACTAGGAGGGAATCTTCCACATAATAGGAATAGTGCTCTTTATTCACCCATCACCCAAGCTGAACAGCCAGTATTTAGTTCAAGTAGGTGTGCTCTAAGATTCCCTGGTCCTATACCGTTCACAACAATATGGAATTCGGTTGCTGTGGCTTTCTTCTCAGGATGATGATGATGATGATGATGATGATGATTACTTCCCAGACTAACAACAATCCTGGGAATTTTAGGGTTGGTCAATGCAAGTTGTATGTGTTTTTTGTATACAGACAGATTCCATTTGTCTGTTTTGTATTGTGTGTTTTTATCTTGTTTTGCTATACTGTGAGTTGCCCAGGGCTGGTTTGGTACCTAAATTGAATGAAGTCAAGAAACAAACAATGAGGATAGATTTTTTTAAAATCTGAGATCATGTTAGATTAATGTTGGGAGACAAGGATTGTAGCATTTCAAAGCGCATTCTCAGTTATCTATATTTCAGCAATACTAATAACTGCAGTCTTGTCTAACAAGACTGATTTTTGTCTCTGGCCAGTGGTTGAGTGGTCTTGTTATAGGGGATATGGACATGAAACCCTTGTCATGGTCAGATCACTCACTCCTTCATCTGGACCTTCGAACTGCGACACCCCGCCGCAGGGAGGCGGAGCCAATTAGATGGGTCCGCCCCAGGCGCCTGATGGATCCTGATAGGTTCCAGATGGAGCTTGGGCCATTTCCTGAGTATCTGGCACACGACTCGGCCGAAGACCTGGTGGCTGCCTGGGATCGGGCAGCTGGTGGGGCCTTGGATCAAGTCGTGCCTTTGTGGCCTCTGACCCAGTGCTGATCCCTCGTGGCTCCTTGGTATACCGAGGAGCTGAGGGAGATGAAGCGCCGGAAAAGACGCCTGGAGAGTGGTTGGAGGGCCAGTCTCGCTGAATCTGACCGAACACTGGTAAGGTTGCATATTAAGACCTACCTAGTGGCAATAAAGGCAGCAAAGTTTAATTACTTTTCCGCTCTTATTGCATCATCAGAGAATCGTCCGGCCACCCTGTTCAGGGTGACCTGCTCCCTACTCCATCCGGGAGCATGGGAGGATCCCCTGGAAGGCAGGGCCGAGGATTTCGGACAAAATCTGTATGACAAAATCGTGCAGATCTGGGGAGATTTGGACTCTGACTGGGTAGATTCGGGCAGAGTGGCGAGAAATAGTCTTGAGAATGTTATCTGGGAAGAGTTTGACTCTGTGACCCCTGATGACGTGGACAGGATTTTGGGGAGACTTAGTGCGGCCACATGTTTACTGGATCCGTGTCCCTCTGGTTAGTACTGGCTTCCCGGGAGGTTACACGAGGCTGGCTCCAGGGAATTATTAACGCTTCGTTGAGTGAGGGTTACTTCCCCACAGCCTTGAAAGAGGCGGTGGTGAGGCCTCTCCTCAAGAAGCCCTCCCTGGATCCGGCAGTATTGGCCAACTACCGTCCTGTCTCCAACCTTCGCTTCGTGGCGAAGGTTGTTGAGAGTGTGGTCACGCGACAGTTTCCACAATTCCTGGAGGAAACGTCTTATCTAGATCCATTCCAGTCGGGTTTCAGGCCTGGGCACACCACGGAAATGGCATTGGTCGCGTTGGTAGATGATCTCTGGAGGGCTCGAGACAGGGGTTGCTCCTCTGTTCTAGCCCTGTTAGACCTCTCAGCGACTTTTGATACCATTGACCATGGTATCATGCTGCACCGGTTGGAAGAGTTGGAGATGGGGGGCACCATGTTATGGTGGTTCTCCTCCTTTCTCTCTGACCGGTTGCAGTTTATGTTGGCAGGGGGGCAGAGATCGACCTCGAGGTTGAGGTCGATCTCGAGGCCTCTTATATGTGGAGTGCCTCAGGGTCGGTCCTCTCGCCCCTTCTGTTCAACATTTATGTGAAGCCGCTGGGTGAGATCATCCGTGGCTTTGGGGTGAAGTACCATCAGTACGCTGATGACACCCAGTTGTACATCTCCACCCCAGGCCACCCCAACGATGCCCTTGAAGTGATGTCCCAGTGCCTGGAGGCTGTGCGGATCTGGATGGGGAGGAACAGGCTCAAGCTCAACCCTTCCAAGACTGAGTGGCTGTGGTTCCCGGCATCCCGATATAGTCAGTTGACTCCATCACTGACTATCGGGGGCGAGTCTTTAGCCCCCACAGAAGGGGCTCGCAATCTGGGAGTCCTCCTGGATATGCAGCTGTCCTTGGAGGAACATCTGATGGCTCTAGCCAGGGGGAGCTTTTGTCAGGTTCGCCTGATTCGCCAGTTACGGCTCTTTCTTGATCGGGATTCCCTGTGCACAGTCACTCACGCCCTCGTCACCTCGCGCCCGGACTACTGCAATGCTCTCTACATGGGGCTCCCCTTGAGGAGTACCCGGAGGCTCCAACTGGTCCAGAATGCGGCCGCGCGGGTAATCATGAGAGCCGCCTGGCACTCCCATATAACACCGCTCCTGCGTGAGCTGCACTGGCTCCCAGTGGTCTTCCGGGTGCGCTTCAAGGTGTTGGTTACCACCTTTAAAGCGCTCCATGGCATAGGACGTAGTTATCTTCGAGACCACCTGCTGCTACCGATGACCTCCCACTGACCTGTGCACTCCCACAGAGAGGGCCTCCTCGGGGTGCCATCAGCCAAACAATGTAGGCTGGTGACCCCCAGGGGGAGGGCCTTCTCTGTGGGGGCACCTACCCTCTGGAATCAGCTGCCCCCAGAGATAAGGAGAATCCAAGACCTCGGTGCCTTCCGCCGTGCCCTTAAAACCTTCTTTTTCCAGCAAGCCGGGCTGGCTTAACATATTTTTTAACATATTTTTAATTTTTAATTGGTTTGTTATCTTAAACTGGGGCCAAATTAATATATATCCTTTTAATTGTTTTTTAATGTTTGTATTGTATGTTTTTATCTGGCTGTACACCGCCTTGAGTCTTTCGAGAGAAGGTGCGGTATATAAATTTGAAATAAAATAAAATAAATAAAATAACAGGAACAAGTGTGTTCCATAATATAAGAATCCATGACTCCAACAGTTTTGTACAAATTTTTCATCTCTCTTACTGCAAAATTGGGTGTATTCATTTATTTATTAAATTTATGAGCAGCCCATCTCACTATTGAAGCAACTCTGGGCTTATAAAACTTTAGTTAGCAATGTAGTGTTTTTCCAAACAGACCACTTATTTTTAGTGATATAATGGGGTAGGTATGTTGGAACACAACTGTTGACTCATACATATGTGATTTTTGTTGCAGGTTCTTATGCTGGGGCAGTAGTTGCTATGCCACTTGCAGGTGTATTGGTGCAATATATAGGATGGTCATCTGTCTTCTATACATATGGTAAGTTGCCCAGTGAAGAAAAAATATTATAGATAAAGTAATATATGTTGAAATAATGCTGACAAATATTTTTTCAATATTTTAACTGTTGTCAAAATCCTGTTTCATTCTACATTTAAAGGAATTTTTGGGATAACCTGGTATATGTTCTGGCTGCTGCAAGCATATGAGAGCCCAGCTGTTCATCCAACAATAAGCACTGAGGAAAGAATTTACATAGAAACTAGTATAGGCGGAGCCAACTTAATCAATACCAGTGTAAGTTACTTGTAGTTTCACTTCATAGTTTTTCCCTCTCTTTAGAAATGATTTATTGTCCAAAATTACTGTAGAAACCATCAACTAACAAATGTCTATGAAGATTCTCAGTCATCCAGATCATGGCTGTCCCAAAGGTGCTTTTTCAAGAGGCAACTGGACTTTCTGGTTTTTCTTTGAAGACATTTCGCTTCTCATCCAAGAAGCTTGAAGAGCCATAGAAGCTTCTTGGATGAGAAGCGAAACATCTTCAAAGAAAAGCCAGCAAGTCCAGTTACTTCTTGAAAAAACACCTTTGGGACATCAATTAACAACAAATCTGTATTTTGTCAGATCACTACAGTAACTAAATGTTTGTGAAGGTTCTAACACAAGAAAATCTTACTACTGAACTTCTGTGCTTTTTGTCTCTGGAGATTCTCAGTCATCCAGATCATGATTGTCCCTTTTTTCAAGAGGCAACTAGACTTTCTTGTTATTTTTTGAAGATGTTTCGCTCTGAAGTGAAGAAGCTTCTTGGATAAGAAGTGAAACATCTTCAGAGATTAACAAGGAAGTCCAGTTGCCTCTTGTTCTGTGCTTGTTGATTTAATACCCTATTTTATGCTTTGACCCTGAAGCCTTTTGTTAGATTTCAGATTTTGCTTGATATGATTTTTAGATTCAGCAACAAAAACGTAATATGTAATTGTAAACGGAGAGAGAAAGAGATGTAGATCCAGTTTCCAGTCTCCCATTTCTCATCTCGGGCTGTTGAAATCATAATATGGTATAAATCAGGGCAGTGGTGAAAGTCAAATATTTTTACCACCGGTTCTGTGAGCATGGCTTGGTGGGCGTGGTGTGGCTTGGTGGACATGTCAGGGGAAGGATACTGCAAAATCTCCATTCCCACCCCACTCCAGGGGAAGGATACTGCAAAATCCCCATTCTCTCCCCAGTCCTGGGGGAAGGATATTGCAAAATCTCCATTCCCACCCCACTCTGGGGCCAGCCAGAGGTGGTATTTGCCAGTTCTCCGAACTACTCAAAATTTCTGCTACCGGTTCTCTGAACTACTCAAAATTTCTGCTACCGGTTCTTCAGAACCTGTCAGAACCTGCTGGATTTCATCCCTGAATCAGAGGTGTTTTGGCTGCCAGAGTCTGCAGGAGGCCGCACAGGCCGAAAATGGGGTGCAGGGAAGCCGCAAGGCCCCCCCATGCCCTGTTTTGGCTGTTAGAGGCACCACGGTCTGGTCCTTTGCTATTTCCAGGCTGGCCCCGCGGGCCAGTTTTAAGCACTCTATGGACCGGATTCGGCCCGCAGGCCTGGAGTTTGACACCTCTGGTATAAATCAAACAGGTTGGGAAACAATGCTTCTTTTCTTGTTTCTAAGCTTGTAATATAAAGACTTTTAATTTTTTTCTCTGGCTCCTTGTATAAAAAGAAAGTTTGGATCAAGTTTGCATTTTAGCATTAAATTCAGTTTATTTTTAAGAAGGATTAAATCTGAATTCCACAAATATGCATAAGGCTGTACTATAAAGCAGGCCTTAAAGGGGATACTTCTATCAGATGCCTTCTTCTCCACCAATTGTGATTTCAGGGACTACTGATGTTTCAGGTGGAATGGGACTTTTTGCCTCCTACCCTTGGCCGCGCCTGCTTCTCCGCCAGGCTTCTGCCTTGGGGGAATTCTCCTCTAGCTTTTCTCCTTGGCTGACACACCCCCGTCCATTCGCTCCAGCCAATCAGCCCCAGACCCTCTGTCCCCCACACTCCGCGTCGAATGGGCTGTGCCGAAGCATGTGGGACGGAGGGGCCATGGCTGACTGCCATGGCGAATGGGCGGGGGAGTGTCAGCCAAGGAGAAAAGCTAGAGGAGAATTCCCCGTGCCCTTCAGCTAGTAGTGGAATTAGAGTTGCATCTCTGGGCCAAAATCTAAGGCCACCCAGCCTGCCGTTTCAAATGTCTGCTTGAGGATAACAACAAAGGGGCTGAGCATGGATTCCCAGGCTGGTAATGACATGCTAAACAGAGTGGGATTGATGCTGCTTGCTGCAGAATCTTGTCCTTTTCATTATGTAGATAACAAAAGGAGAGGTTACTTATTCATGTTTGTTTTTCAAATATTGTTTTCTACAATGAAAATACTTTCACCCAAATAACAAATTGAATGTTAAATTGATGCCTAACATTACTAAAGTGAACTACAGCCTCCCATCATTCTAAAGCTTTGGCATTCTCTCTTCTAGAGATTTAGCACCCCTTGGAAGCAGTTTTTCACTTCGATGCCGGTTTATGCAATTGTTGTGGCAAACTTTTGCAGAAGCTGGACTTTCTACTTGCTGCTCATAAGTCAGCCTGCTTATTTTGAAGAAGTCTTTGGATTTGCAATAAGTAAGGTAAAAATATAAACCCAAGGAATTTCTCTAAAGGCCTGATGGTAAATTGCTGATTGTTCTCAATGATTTTCATTTGATTATGCCTAATAAATTGGCATGTTTGAATCTTCTCTTAATATAGCTCACTGTTAGTCAGTGCCAGCTGCTTAACATACAAATGACATAATAAAAATCAAGGACTGTTTGACGGGAGAGAAAAGAGCTAACCTGTATATCAATTGTGCTATGATACAAATCAGGGGCGAGTTTCAAAACCCGGCGCTACTGGTTCTCTCGTGGGTGCGTGACGCTTCTGCGCATGCATCAGGGCGGGTGGGTGGGCGGAGCCTCCCACTACCGGCGCTACTGGTTCACCCGATCCAGGGCGAACTGGTAGCAACCACCACTGATACAAATAATGTTTTGTTATCTAATGACTTGTACATTCCATAACAGCATTATAAACTGTCTTTGGAGGCAGTCCTTAAATTCTTTGGATGTTTGTTCCCAACATATTGTATATGTATACAAACATTGTGTATTTTTAATTGAACTGTTGGTGTTTGAGTACTGAGTGTTAAACTGGAGGCCTGTACAATATTTGACTAATTTTTATCTATAGCAAATGTTCATATAAACCTGTTAATTGTGTTGGAAAATTAAGCTGTACTTTGTTGATTGAAAAACCATATCTGAGACATAGGAGGGCATGGTAGCTAGTTAGGATTTCTGAGCTACACCCCTTTGTCTGCTGTTTCCATTGAGCAGCCTTTATTATTTTTTTAACGATCACTTTGACAATTCCTTTTATGGTAGATGTCACCATAACTTTTAGTGGCTGATGACAAATGGAAATTTGTCAGCTCAATTCTCTAGTGCAAAATATACTAAATTCACCTATGCTAAGGAATGATGTGCTCCTCAAATATTCATTTAATTAACTTCATATATTGAGAGAAAAAACATATTTCTTTTGGTCTCGTGATTTCCATTGTATCTATTTACTTCCAGGTTGGCCTTTTGTCTGCAGTTCCGCACATGGTCATGACTGTTATTGTACCCATTGGAGGCCAACTCGCTGACTTCTTGCGCAGCAGCAGAATTTTAACAACTACTGCTGTCAGAAAAATCATGAATTGTGGAGGTATGCTTAGATCTTATATGTGATTTATATGTTACTACCTAACTATCAGACTGATTTGCTGATTTTAAAAATAAATGCAAAATCTGAAGTATTTTGTATATTGTACATTGAAAGGGAGGATTGAATTATCAAAATATACAAGGACATGAGGACTTTTTTTTTTTTTGCTAAAAGTTTCATTCCTTCTGAGATAATCTGTTGGGACTGCAGGAAGGAGGGGAGGGAGGGAGGGAGGGAGGGAGGGAGGAAGGAATTATTGTGACTTTTATGTCAGTTTAATCTTACAAAATCTAAGCAATTTATAAATATCAAACAATGTATGCAAGAATGACAATGCCCATGAACACCTACATGTGCACATATGCAGAGAGAGAGAGACAGACAGACAGACAGAGAGACAGAGACAGAGAGAGACAGAGGGGGAAGAGAGACACACACACACACACAGAGACAGAGAATGAGAGGTATGACGTTTTTATAAAAGCAGAGAAAATTAGAAACCAATCTGTATGTACTTAGTGTTTGGAACTAATTTTAAAGAAAAATAAAATAAAAACAACATCAAAAATAAATAAATTGTTTTGATACTTCCTGAAGCGGTGTATTTTGAAGAATTAATAACCTTCTCCATTCATTTCCTTTGCAGGTTTTGGGATGGAAGCTACTTTACTTTTGGTGGTTGGATATTCTCACACGAGAGGCATGGCTATTTCATTCTTGGTTTTAGCAGTAGGCTTTAGTGGATTTGCTATTTCAGGTAAAACATACACTGTTAAACACATTGTATTTTAATATCAACAGGATTATTATTGCAATTTATTGTTTCTATACCAGGTATCCTCATCCCTAGGCTGCCGATTATCTTGGCTCTTGACTTTTAATTTTAATTAAAGGCTATTCTGACATTCTTAAATGGTTTTTTAAACTGATTAATTTGTAATGAAACCTTTACTTCATAAAAATTAAAAAAAAGCACAATTATGCTGTAGTAAGTGATTGACTACTTAAATATGTTTGTTTAATTATTTATGTGTTTAAAATATTCAAAATCAGTAATATAACTTCATCTTGACAGTTAAAACCTTTGAATTGTCTATGAAATATGACAGGTTATGATATTTTCAGTGCTTTATTTTCAAAATAATGGTTTTTCTCTATGCTTTAGTTATCATTTTCCTTCTTTGAGAAACCAGGGCTATGCACATAGTCCACACTTTAAGAAAATAAGCTGAGGCTTGGACCCAAACTCAAATATTTTTAATTAATTTTACATTGACATTAAATTAAATCTAATAAACACAATTAGCCCTAATGTATTTAATCCCTTTTTTCTGATGCCTTATTTGGTAACCAGGTTTGAAATTCTCAGGGACTAAATTAAATTCCAGAGGACAGTGAAGTCTTGGATCAGCCTAAAAGAAGCAGTTGCGTTTTCAGCTGCTTGAATCATTCTCATGCTGACAGAATACACCCTGTTGATGTAATATTTTGTGTTACAGGATTTAACGTCAACCATTTGGATATTGCACCTCGGTATGCCAGCATTCTCATGGGCATTTCTAATGGAGTTGGGACATTGTCAGGCATGGTCTGCCCTCTCATTGTTGGTGCAATGACAAAACATAAGGTAATGATGTTCAGATTTATTTTTTCCCTAAATGACTTCCAAATGCATGGCAGTCAGTTATTATTATTAAACCATCATTAGTTTCGCCAATTTCAATTCCTGGTCATTTTGAAAAACATGGTGGGCATATGAGATTTTATTTCAGCAAAAATAATTTTTACACTGGGCTCTCTTTGAAAAGTTTCCACAATTTCCAGCTGATTCAAAATGTGGTTACATTATTAACTAGTCACAGAAAGTGACTCTTATATTACAATAGCTTCACTGGTTACTGGTTTGTCTCCAGGATAGTGATAATAATAGCACTTAGATTTAGATTATACACCGCTTCGTAGTGCTTTACAGGCCTCTCTAAGCTGTTTACAGAGTCAGCATCAGAGGTGGGTTTCAGCAGGTTCTGACCAGTTCTGGAGAACCAGTAGCGGAAATTTTGAGTAGTTCAGAGAACCGGTAGTAAAAATTCTAACTGGCCTGCCCTCATCTATTCTCTGCTTTCCAAGTCCCAGCTGATCAGGAGGAAATGGAGATTTTTCAGTAACCTTCCTCTGGAATGGGGTGGGAATGAATATTTTACAGTATCCTTCCCTTGCCACACCCACCGAGCCATGCCCACCAAGCCATGCCACACCCACCAAGCCACACCCACAGAACCAGTAGTAAAAAAATTTGAAACCCACCACTGGTCAGCATATTGCCCCCATCAAACTGGGTCCTCATTTTACCAACCTCAGAAAGATGGAAGGTTCAGAAGGATGGAATTCTGCATTCTAACCACTGCACCGCCACAGGTCTCTCTCAATTCAGAGTGCTGGTTATTAGCTCCAAGTTTTTTGTGGTTTGAAATATAACATTTTCTTGCCTTCAAGACTGTCGGCTCCTCCACTATCACAGCCATAGTTGATAGTTACAAAAGAAAGGGGCCTTTTATGCTGATGCTCCTAGATTCTGTCTGCTAAAGTAGCCCAAGCTTTCTTTTGGGATAAAAATAGTTTTATTTGGCTCCAAAGAGATCTTGCTAATAAAATCAAGTTATTTTAAGGTGATGTTATTTATTATATTATTTGATGAGTTTTTAGTTCCTGAGTTTTAATATTTTAACTACAGCTTTGCTGTTTTCTTTATATATTTTAAATTTAAACTTTTTAAATGTTATTTTTGGTGGAAAAATAGAATGCAAATTTAATCTACATGAAATATGTCCCATGTCATTTCTTTAGACTCGTGAAGAATGGCAAAATGTCTTTCTAATAGCTGCGTTAGTCCACTATAGTGGAGTGGTATTTTATGCTATCTTTGCTTCTGGTGAGAAGCAGGAATGGGCTGATCCAGAAAGTCTGAATGAAGAGAAATGTGGAATACTTGAACAAGATGAACTGGCTGAAGAGACTGAACTGAACAATGATACTTTTGTTAACACAAAGAAAACATATGGCGCCACTGTTCAGCATGACGAAGCACCAAGGAAAGAATTGCAGAAGGAAAAGGGAATGAGGCACAATGTCGAAGAACAGACTGTTTATCAGTATGAAAATGGAAACTTTCAAGAGTCATTGTAAATGTGTTCATGGTTTGTGTGACCATTACCATCAGTGTATACAAGCAAGATCTATCTGAATGTATTATATATTGTGACTAATCCTGCCAAATGATTGGCTGTAAGACATAGTCATTTTCAGCTTGTGTTACAGGAAATGGATTAATAGAAATACATCTGATGTGTGTAGTGTCTCTGATCAGCCCTTGGGTTTGCAAAGCCACGGTTGTTTAATACGGAGAGCTTTGCTACTAATGACATTTTTAATACACCACACTTCAGCAATGCAATCATAGTCACGACTCAAATATTATAACCATGTAAAAATCCCATAAGCAGAATTTTCTACTCAGTTCATTTCCATAGTAATACCCTGTTTCCCCCAAAATAAGACATCCCCTCATAATAAGCCCAATCAGGCTTTTGAGCACATGGCAATAAGGCCAAGCGCTTATTTCAGGGATCAGAAAAATATAAGACAGGGTCTTATTTTCGGGGAAACACGGTATACAATGGAGGATGCACTGTGTTTAAGTTGAAATTATACTGTACAGATAGTGATCCTCCTTTAACAATGCAAAGTGTTAATGGGACTGGAAACTGTTGTTGAGTGACATATAATTTAAAAAATCATGTGACCACACTGCTGCTGCAATTCCAGCAATCCCAGTTGCTGTTGTTAAATGAAGACCATGCAGGCCATTAAGTGAGGACCTCACATGATTACAACTTTCCAAGTTCCTGCCAGTTTCACATTGGCTTTGCTCGTGGGATGCCAACAGGGAAGGTTGAAGATTGCAATTATGTGACCATAGAGATGCTGCAATGGCCATAAGTACAAGATCCAGTCATAACAATAACTCTTTCAGTGCTGTCATACACTTGCTGAACGAGTGGTCATTAAATGAGGAATACCTGCAGTAATTGTTTAGATGCAGCTTTTAAAAGCCTGCTGTATGTTTTTTTTTTTGCCATCTATTAACTTTTTATGTAATCAGTTCCAATGAGATACATATTTTTAGACCATCTCCAAATATATATATATACCTGTTATACTATAAAAATATATTTGCCATTGGTCCACAATTTTAGATCTATAAGTTTATTATTAAAACATTTATCCATTATCCTACCTGACTATCACATTACAACCTCAAACTCAAATTATACACAAAAAAAAACCAAGCACAACTATAAATGAAGATCAACTCATTAGCATAATTAATCATTCAATTATGTTGAAGTCATTGAGGCAAACCTAAAATCCTGAGCTTCTTCAAGATCCTGAAGATAACCCTTTGAGCCACCCAAAAATTGTCACTAAATTATAATTTTTAGTGTAATCGAAGAGGATCATGATTAAAACATATTAAATTAATATTAATTTAAGATAAATTAAATCATTTACTTTTTGCCCTGGTTACATCCATGGTCTGCATGTATCCTCAGATCTCCTCTCAAAGGTCAAATGGGCCAAAGTTTCACACTCTCCCCCCCCCAATAACATTGTGTTCCTGCATTATACCGTATCTTTTCCATACCAAATCCACCTGAAATATATCAGTTATTTGCCAGCCATTGAAAATAGGAGGAACTCAGACCATTCTTCCAAGTACAGTCCTGATATGCCCTGATTGGAAAGACTTTTGTCAAATGAGATTTAAAGTATGTCATTTTATCCTGTACTTCATGAACTGGGAAGCCAACATGAACAAAAATAACCCCTTAGATAAATGATATTTAAGTAGATACCAAATCAGGACAGATACAGAGAGGTTGCAATTTGTGCAAGTTCGAATAATGCAATATTCAATTTAGCATAGACTGTAAATTGATACCAGGCTGTATTTAATGTTACCCAAAATTCATTTAATGTGAGTCTAATGCATGTGCAAATGAGGCGAGTGCATGCACAGGTGGTTCAAATTTTAGATGTTGCTAATCTTTGTGAGTGGAAAATGGAGAAAAGGAAGTTCCCATTACAGGAAAACAGCACAAGTTTAAGAAAGAAGAGACTTGCATTGGAGCAAAAAAAAATGTTTTTCTTGTCAGGTTGCCTTCCCAGTTTAGATAACATGAGGGTCGTCATAGCAATACTAAAATAGGAAAAGATGTTGGAATACTTGAATCTGCAGTAGAATTTGTTTTTGTTTTGCTTTCGGTAACTACCCTGTGACTTTTGTTAACCCTAAATTCAAATTATAAGTATATTATTTTTTATCCATTACTGTACTGTTTTAGCAACATACATATGAAACATTATGTTAAACATTTTTCATTACCTGTTTCCATTGAGCTGGAACCAGTTGTTATATTTTCCATAAACTTATTACTTTATTATTATTTATTATCTAATAATACAAGAATTATTTGAATTCAAATAATGCAATCATTTCATAGCACTAATCAAGACCTACCTGTAATAACTGACAATTCAGTCATGGGAGAGGAACAAGCATTTTGGGAATTTATAGTGTTCTTTGTTTCTGAATTACATATTTATACATATCTTATATATTTTCTTGCAAACTAAAAACATGAATAGCAGGGACCCCAAGGAACAGTTGCTTTAAATTATCCCTTCATACAGTATAAACAGCAAATGTGTTCTTGGGCCCTTTGCTTTTCTCTCAAAGGATTTATACATATTATTTTTCCCATTCACTTGACATTATGTAAGCAGTCAATGTATTTGCAGGAGTTTATTGTTTAAAAAATAATGTGCTGATTGTTATAGCTCTTATAATGGATTTACATGCAATACACCTGAAACACTTGGTGTTTTAGAATTTTCCTCATAATCTGTGAGAGGTATCCAGGAAGCATGTTGCATGACTTCTAACCTGATGATTTTGTTTTCCTGCTATCACTATCAGTAAAATTGCAAGTGAAGATATTCTGCTACATTGTGTATTTTATTGAGAGCCCTGTTGTTTAATTGTTCTGTTTTAACAATATTTAAGGTATAGGAAAACATGACAACAGAGATATAACATCCTAATTATATATTCTTCCATACTTTGGGGATACCACTAATTTTTGGAGGGGTCTTTGATACTGAAGGCATTAGAGTTCACTTTCCTCAGAAAGGAATGAAATGTCCTTCGGATGATAATGAAACTTGTCTGGAACTACTTTTATTATATTAAAAGTGTTTTTTACTGAGAGATATTTTCCACTGAAATACTTAAATTAAATGTATCAGAAGCTATGTGATTTCTAGTGGATTCTGAGGTTAATGTTTGAAAATAAATGGTTATTAAGTGCATTCTCTTCAAGAAAAATCCTGGATAGATAGTGAAAAAGTAGAGTTATATGTTTTCAATCATAATTAGAAAATAAAAATGTTAAATATCATGTACTGAGTCATTTAAACTCTGAAAAATGTTTTAATAAAAACTAGAGCATTATTTCCTTATAATAAGTAAGCCTTATTATCAGGTGTAGGAGGAAAAAAGCATAATTAGCTTTGTGATATTATTTTAAACTTTTTGAGAAAGTGGAGAATTTATTAAAGTAGCATTGCATCAGTATGTAGTATAATAGTGAGTACTACTGTGTGAAGAAGTCTTCATTTTATTTATCTGAAATCTTTCATCTTTCAGTTTTATAGAAAAATCACAGGTTCTAGTATTTTCAGTGAGAGAGAAAACTTTCCACTATTCTCTCTCAACAGCATACATAAATTTATAAATTGTCTGTAATTTTCATCTGTTACCTTTTTGCTAAACTCAAATGTCCCAAGTAATTTTTTCATCCTTAGGAATGTACTTCTTTTCTAATAATATTGTTTTAAAATGAGGCCTCATTTAAATTGCCATTTACCTATTTATTCTCATCAGACTGAACATCTGTCTTATCAAATAGCATATCTTAATTCAAAACTGCCTCATACTAAATATTTTTTTTCTTTTTAAATTTGATTTATATGCCGCCCTTCTCCGGAGACTCAGGGCGGCTTACAATGCGTTAAGCAATAGCTTTCATACTTTTGTATATTTTATACAAAATCAGCTTATTGCCCCCACAAACTGGGTCCTCATTTCACCTACCTTAGAAAGGATGGAAGGCTGAGTCAACCTTGAGCCTTGGAGAGATTCGAACCAGCAGTAAATTGCAGGCAGCTGTGTTAATAACAGGGTGCGTAGACCACTGTACTATCAAGGCTCTTTTTAAATATTTGGAATAGAATTGCTGTTTCCCAAATGCACAGTCACCATTGCCATGAGAAATTAGAGAGAAAATAGAAGAGACGTGGATTATGCCAACATAAAAGTAGCAATCAATGAGAAACAATAAAGAGCTATCTTCCAAGATGAAAGATTAAAAACAAGATGAGACTGAAGTGTGTATTTGGAGGAGAAGGAATGTTGTCAAGGTTGTGAGTTCAATTAAATTAATTTGAAAGACTTAAAAATAGTAGGTTGGGGATAGGGGCTAAAGCATTAAGAATTTGGAAACATTGTACAATTCAGGATTCAGTTATAGTTGGTAGTTGACTGGACTGAAAGAAGAAAATACCATGCAGTATGAATGTTTATTGTCTCAAGTGAAGAACAAGAAAAAAAGCAACAATGGAAATATAGAAGTCACAACTGGATATAAAATTGAAATAGAGAGAACAGGTGTCTAAATACAAACCAAACTCTGAAACATGTTCTATATCATTTTTGGAACGTATCAGAATTTGTTTCTTGAGAAATGTGAAGATTAAGTTATTTGTTAGTTTCAGATAATGCTATAAGTTTCAGACTTATAGTCCATTCCTGTAGCAGAATCCTAGGCTAATGATACCAGTCTCGCATAGCCTTCAGAAATATGCTGATTTTATGCCCCATTCCTAAGATCCAGATCTCTTTCCTCCCCTTCCTCCCTGCTGTCTGCAAATGTGGTAAGGGTCTAAGAAAAAGAAAAAGAAAAAGAAAAAAAGACTCGGGTAAACTGAGATACCCACTTTCTTCTATCTACGAATAATTGACTTCTCAAACTGGCACTGGAATATCTCTGACAGCAGAGATCGTATATAAGAATTAAGCTTAAAAAGGACCCGAGAGTTAATGATATGAATAATAGGAAGTTAACTACATAACTATCCTGCTTTTTATGACCAGCCCTACCATTAAAAAAAATATAAAGCCGTAATTTATAATGGCAAATGTGAATGACTGACATCTGTAGCAGAAAACTGTATGCTATATAGCTGAACACTGCATCTCCAAAATAGCTTGCTGCCCTAAATTGAAGTGGAAAGTACTATCCCTTCCCCACTGTTCACATTAAACTGGTTTTGAACATGGAATAATAGGACAAAGCTGACACAATTGTTTTGAGCAAGCACAAAATAACAGCAAATCCCTCTGATCAAATGTTGTTCCTGAGCAAATGGAAACTTAAAATGTTCCCATACTATTGCCCAACCCCAATAAATTTCCTCTCCACTTTATGTTCCACTAAAGAATATATTGAGTTCGCATTCTACTTTTTCAAATATAATCATGTCTATATATTTTTTCAACCTGATCTTCAAAATAACCTAGGCTCACCTTGACCTCAATCTTTGTAAAGCTGAGAAGTAACTGATAATAGGAATAGATTCCAAGTGTCCATAGGATTGAATGAGAAGTAGAAATAAAATCCAGTAGGGACACTCGGTCACATATCATTCTAAGTCTTGCATCTCCTATCTGGAGCTAGGGAACATATTAGTAATTTTTGGCTAGGTACCTAAGAGGATTCAAATGCTTTTGTGTTTTTTTAAAAAGGAATTATTATATATTTTTTAAAATAAACAGTGCTACAAACTGCTAGCATCAAGATTGTTTTTACTTCCAAGAAAAGCTGTATTCTATGTAAATCTCATAATTATCCTTACGAAATAAAAGTGATAGCCAAAGCTTGGTTTTGAATATTATGGTTCATCACACAGTCAACTGAATTTGGAATTTTTATCCACCTATTGAGTCCTTCCCAAGGATTTGGATAGAGAGATGTGGAAATCAGATGGTGTTAAAGGTATCATCACAGGATGTAAAATGCCTTTTGCAATTGACTGAGGATGAGTTTGTCAATATCAGTGGTGTTCAAATGGTGCTTCAATTGTTTTGGGATTACAAACGAAGTACCTATTATTATTGGTATTACTTTTGCTTTCTTTTGCCAGAGTTGTTCTATTTCTATTTATAGGTCTTTTATTTTCTCCAGTTCTTTCTCTTCTATTCTGTTGCCTCCAAGTACTGCCATATCCACTATCCAGACTTTTTTTGTCTTTTTTATTGACAATTGTTAAGTCTGGGGTGTTATGTGACAGGTGCTTGTATTTTTGAATTTAAAATCCCAGATCATTTTAGCTTTTTCATTTTCTATGACTTTCTCTATTTTAATGTCCCACCAGTTCTTGCTTGTAGGCATGTGGTACTTTTGCAGATCTTTCAATGCACCATTATTGCTATTTAGTCATGCGACTGCTTGTAATCAGTTTGTGCAATCTTCTTACAGCAGCTAACTAGGTAATCCACTGTTTCTACAGCTTCTTTGCATGGAGGACATTAGATAGCAAATACCTTCCCTACAAAGAAGCTGAAGAAACAGTGGATTACCTAGTTAGCTGCTGTAAGAAGATTGCACAGACTGATTACTAGCAATTGCATGACTAAGTAGTAATAATGGTGCATTGGGAAATCTGCAAGAAATAGCTATCTAGCTATCTTCTCAATTCTGGCTTTGTATGTCTATAGCTGTTATTTGCTCTTTTGTTATCTCCAGTGCTTCCTTAATCTTTATTGTTTCCAGATAATATTTCTCCTCAAGGTATTCTTTGATTTTCTTCTTCTCCTCCAGCTGCTTTTCTTTAATCTGCTCTAATTTTCTGGCATCTGATTTTAGCTTGCTGATCTTATTTTCCAGCTTGAAATGATCTAGCTCTCATCTTTCTCAGAAGACACAAATCCACAACCGTGTTAAAGTAGTGCCTCAGAGTTTTTCAGTAATCTCTTGGACTGCAAATTACTTTATGACAGGTCTCTTAATAAATGCCAGAATGGATGCACTGTATAGCCAAATATTTTAAAGTACTCACACTTCTTATCACTGCACAATAAATGATGACAATCTTTTTATTGTTATATAGCCTTTAATAAAGTTTCATTGTGAGTGATATAGCTTGCTCATTTTTTGAATTGCTCATGCACTGATCATACAGTAAAGCTGCCACCCTATATTCCCTCATGTAGAAATGCTATTGAATGTAATGGCAATAGCTATCTGCGAGACCGCCTGCTGCTACCGACGACCTCCCAGCGACCCGTGCGCTCCCACAGAGAGGGCCTCCTCGGGGTGCCATCAGCCAAACAATGCAGGCTGGTGACCCCCAGGGGGAGGGCCTTCTCTGTGGGGGCACCCACCCTCTGGAATCAGCTCCCCCCAGAGATAAGGAGAATCCAAGACCTCAGTGCCTTCCGTCGCGCCCTTAAAACCCATTTATTTAAACAAGCCGGGCTGGCTTAAGATGAAATTTTTAACTGTTTTTAAATGTTTTAAACGTTTTTAATTGGTAAATGAGTTTTAATTGGGCCAAATTTATATATCTTTTAATTGTTTTTAATATTTGTTCTGCATGTTTTTTTTAATCTGGCTGTACACCGCCCTGAGTCCTTAGGGAGAAGGGCGGTATAGAAATCCAATATAAAATAAAATAAATAAATAAAATAAATAATTTCTGGGTACAAATGTACAGCTTTACATTATATAGCAATGTTTCATCAGTCAGGTCTATCTGTTTTTTAGGACTGGTTGGTGAAGGGGGTCTCTTTTATACTATGGTGAAATAGAGAAAAATAGCATTAATGAACATCCTCTACAATGTGAAAATCAGGTGCTTCTTTATGTCCTATTGTTTTTTTTTAAAAAAAGCCATTGAAGCAAACCATGCATAATGAAAATGTGCTAAATCCTAACTATAATAGATTCATAGCATTTGGCAAAACCGAGGTGATCTTGACTCTGCTCCAAAAGGCTAAGCAGGGTTGGACTTGGATGGAAAATTATCAGAAAAGTCCAGTGCTATATATTAAATTGGGAAGCCCCCCAAAAAAAACATTTCAGAACTACTGCCACAATTCTGCCAAGAAAACTATGTGGATATAGTCACCTGAGTCAATCAGAAGTTCTTTTCTTTATGTTTTCTGGGTTACCTTTATAACGTTCC